TGGGGGGGGGGGGCGAAATACAAGGCTTTGTCATTGTGGCTAGGAGCGAGAGAGAAATATGGAAGGCACCTTAATAAGCAAGCGGGCGCATGGTGCCGATTTAGGAGTCTAGCACACCAGAGAGAATATACATGATTGCATTTATACCCGTATGTTTGAAGGTTGTCTGATACAAGCATGTTGAATATAGTGATGGGGTAATTGATGCGAGGAAACAAAATAGTGGGTTATATACCTTCGCGCCACGAGCAGAAGACAATACAAGACCGGGACTGAGAGACTGACTTTTATCGAGGAGAAAAGACTAGACGAGAATAGAAGGTAACAAACTCTTACATGTTCAAATAACATGTAAAAGCTAGAAAATCAAAAGACTTACACAATGACCTCTGCAAAAATTTAACCAACTACAAACTTGACTCAATCATGACGGACACCCTGCACTAAGTTTGCTTCACTTAGAGAAGAAAGATACAGTGGAGTGGCACTTGCGGAACGAGACGAAGGAGGTTTAAAGCCAAGAAGAAGGTGAAAGAGCCCGCAGATTTTCCGAGGGATGGAGAACATAGAGGGTGAAAGAGCCGCAGGATTTCCGGAGCAGAACCGCAGGTTATAGCTTTTCCAAAATAACAATATCATTCACTTTTAAAACATTACAAATCCCGGCCAATTTATAGGTATGTAAAGATGAATACCAAGAGACACCTAATAAATTACCATAGGATTCTAAACATCACATAGCATTAAAGAGATATATGTGTAAGTATATATATATATATATATATATATATATATATATATACTTGCACATATATCTATGTAGTACTAGTCTAGAATGTTTGTATGATATCATTAAACCAAAGAGGGAAAAAAAAAAAGACGTAGATTTGTACGTCTTTCTGGCTCTTTGTATTAGTAGTTTTTGGTTAAATTTTTAGATGATAAAATGGATGTTAGACAAGACACTACTCATATATTTCAACCTCATTTGTCTAAGATTGTATGATATGGTTCAAAATTTTCCCATAGATGTAGGATGCTATACTTAATTATCTTTTTAGAGCAGCAGAGAAGACCTTCAATCCAGGCTAGTTGGTAGGTTCTAAATATTTAGCTTATAATAATTATGCCTCAATTTTGAATAGAGGAATTATGCTATTGTTTACTTAGAGCGGATGAGAAGGAATAATAATGAATCTCATCAAAGTCTTATGATTTCATCATCCTGGGTTGAGTGATCCCCGTCTACATAGTCAGCAGAGGAAGTTGACCCAACTTGACTAAAGGACCATTGTCAATAACAATGGGTTGTATCGCCCATAAGTTGTTGATGTTTGTTTAGTTCTTGAAGAAATTGCAAGTATTGGAGTTTATCAGCGTGAGATGTTTGGTAGGAGGAATAATCATGTGAAATTTGAGAGAGAGAGAGAGAGAGAGAGAGAGAGAGAGAGAGAGATGCAAGTAGTTGAGGGAGAGATGCGAAGTTTGGAGGTGAGGGGTTGTGACCTGCAATGCTTTATGATGCAGAATGTTGGTCATTAAAAGTGAAGCATAATATTAAGTTAAGTGTTGCAGAGATGAGGATGCTCAGGTGGATGAGTGTTTTTACTCTTAGAGACAGGATACGAAATGGGCATATGCGTGAAAAGGTTGGAGTAGCTCCAGTGGAAGATAAGATTAGAGAGTCTCCTTAGATGGTTTGGTCAAATAAAATGGCGGTCATTCGATGACCCGGTTAGGAAAGTAGATGTATTAGATTTGACTTTGTTAAGAAGGGTAGAGATAGACCTAAAAAAACTTGGTTAGAAAATATTAGAAATGACATTTCTTTATTAGATTTAAACTAAAATTTAACTTTTAACATGACACAATGGAGAAAAAGGATTCATGTAGCCGACCCCACAGTGGGATAAAGGCTTGTTGTTGTTGTTGTTGAGATGTCATCAGCATCTCTTGCATCATACACAAAACCTGTTTGTTCCTTTTTAGTTAGTTCTGCATGAATGTCAACTAAAAAGCTCCATGAATTTTGTATAATAAGAGTTTTGAATTACTTCCTGTTTAAATTAGCAACTTGTTCTAATAAATTGTAGTTCCAGGCAACCTTGATATGTTCATTTTAAATTCCACCAGCAAGCATGCATATGTTATCTTTTAAGAAATAATTTGTTCTCAGGTGTCGCTCAAGGAAGCCAAGGAAACAGTAAAATTATGGTACAATGAGAGACGAGAAGTATTAAAATGGCAAGAACAGCGCAAAAAGGATCTGTTAATTAAGCAGTGTGTTCATACCTTGCTTGGTCGTGCACGTCGCTTCCCATCAGTTGCTAATGTGAGTAATGCTCAGAAAGGTCACATTGAGCGAGCTGCAATTAATACTCCAGTTCAGGTAATTTGTCCAACTTTTGCACAAAAATCTAGCTTCCATCAGCTCCATTGTTTATATTCTATGAAAATCTTCAGTAAGCACACTATAAGTAGTTTGTTATCAGATATCATGTGTTTTTACATTTATTTCATTTATGCGATTTCTAATGGATTCATTAACACAATATCTGCAGTCAATTTAAATGAGAACTTATGTCATCTTAAACTTACAAGAAAAACTTTAGGCATTTACAACTTTTTTTTTTTTCGATCGAAGCTGTCTTCAGAGTGGCATAGATTGCTTTCTTAAAACTAAATAGAGCTGGTAGGAACATTTTCTGAGATGCGTGTGAAGCATTCAATGTTTTTCATTCAACTCTATGCTTCTAAGAAATGAGGGATTGAATATTTACGATTCTATTGCATGCTTTCTAGTTGCTAGCTTGAACCCCTTGGAAAGATTTTATCTTGCAATAAGTTGGGCCATGCTTCTTTTTGTGCTAATGTAAACTTTTATGTTTACGTTGCTAGGTTTCATTCAAGTCGCAATGACTGCAAGCTAAGGACTAACCGAGTCAAGAGGGTTGTAGTTTGGAACCCCTGAGTTGCACACTTCCTATAGCTAGATTAGGGTACATTAGTGGCAGCTTGATAGTCTGAGACTCTGAGTTACGGCGAGTGATGATCTTGAGAGTCTGAGCTTCCATTGAGGCAAGTGTCTCCCTTGTGCTTGAACGAAGCTGTACGAGTTCCCTAGTGTCCATGCCTAGTGACTCCTTTATTCGGTCGATTGGGGCAAGCTACGTTCCCTTCTGGCAAGTGCCTTTAACTAGAACATATTAGGTGCCTGTGAAATAACTACATGGATATGTATACAATGCAAAGGACAATTTAGCAGAAGTTGTTCAAGGTGAGTTTAGTTTAGAGAAGAAGAATGTAAAGTTTGAATGAGTCAATGCTGGTTAGAATAAGGTGGTTAAATTTGTGGAGCAAGTTATGAATTGATTCGAATAAGTTGAATATTGAGTTTTGAATTCGAGACAGATGATATGGTGGATAAATTTTAGAAAAGTTAGTATGAATTCAATATTCTAATTTAAAGTTTGAATTTGATTTTTTAACTTGAATCTCATATGGAGAATTTTGAGGAAACTGTGAAGTTGATTAAGGATTTTATATTTGAATTTGTGGGATGGCTGAACTAGTTCGTGGAGGGGAGATTGTGCCTGTTTTCGAGTAGAAACAGCAAGAAAACGAAAGGAACGGTATGCAAGGACATGAACCTACATTTCTGCACTGAGAGTGCTGATTTACTGCTGAACTGCTTAAGTAACTATCAATAGGGCTTAAAAATTATTTTCTGCTTCGTATCCTATTCAGCAGGAAAGTATAATTTCGGATCCAAACAGAAGCAAACGGCATAACATAGTAAATTGGAAGAGCAGAATGCAGGAAAAAAACAGAAAAAGACCAACCCTGGTACCAAAACAGAAAAGTCTGCAGTATATAGCCGTGCGCATAAAAATTTGTCTAAAGTCACTCGGAAATAGTATGTTTTATGGATAATTTTGTGTGTTGGAAGGTTGGAATAGTAGAGAAATGAGGAAATTTACTTGGAGGAGGCTTCTGGCTATTTCACACAGCTCCTGGCTCACTCAAAGATGTATGGCATCAAAAATGGATGGGATCTGACTTATACTGGAGGGTTGATGCAGAATTGCTGCCAGCAGCTTGCAAGAGCAACTAACCTTCTTCATTAATTTGGTCTAAAACAATATACTTACGACCTGGTCAATTACAAAAGAGTTACAGTAATTTAATGAGAAAATTCATAAATGCCCTAAACAAGTAAAAACAAAACATTATATTTTTATTGAAAGGATTTAATTTTTAATCTAATTGATATTTTGTGGGATATAAATATATAATTGACTATGATGATCCGCTAGTGCTCTATCAATTGGGTATCTTCCATATAATTAGTGAAGTTGGTTTTGTTTTGCTCAAATTTCACTTGTCCTTTGCCATGGTTATTTGACTTTTGCAACCATAATTAGAGATCAAATTTTATGATGCAATTATTTATGTGACTTGGTCATTTTTCTTGGAGTATTTTCTTTTTTTCTATGCACTAAATACATTATATATTTCTCACTTTGGTAGGGTAGTGCGGCAGATGTTGCTATGTGTGCTATGCTTGCGATAGACAGGAATACTCGATTGAAGGAACTTGGATGGAGGTTGATTTTGCAGGTTCTTAACATTGACTTTAATAGTTTCCATCTAACTTTTTTTTTTTAAATAAAGTTCAAATAGTTGTTATCTAGGCATGGCACTAAAGTTTTAAGTATACGATTATCTCTTGAATTTCTTGTGATGTTTGAATTTAGTATTTGATTTATAGTCTTTTGGAGAAAGTGTGAACCTGTGAAGGGTATGCGATGCAGTCTATCATTGCCATTCAATTGATGATGACTGGAAAAATATGATTTTATTTATTTACTTAAATTTGAAATTATTAGGAATTAATAGTTTATTATATTATTTATTATTTTCCTGAAGATTTTCCCCTAATAAGCCTTAGGGGTGGTTTGAACTTTCAGTTGCCATTCTAATTCTATAAATAACCTGTTATTCTTTGTAAAAATTATGCTATAAAGAATTAGTAAAAATTTTGTAGGTCCTGATGCACACTCCAGAGGTATGTTGGGTGTTTTCAAAAATGTTTAAGAAATTTAAAAATTGAAAGTAAATAAAATATCAACAAGGAAATATTGGAGTGGATTGGAGATTTAATAATTGTAATAAATCAATGTTGCAAGGATGGATGAACACACCCAAGTGGGCGTGAAGTGTAGCTATTTAAAGAAAATTGCTGCGAGTGAATAAAATGTTGCAAAAATGGATCAACGAGCACAGGTGAATGTCGACTATAATTATTAGAAGATATTAGTACTTGCTGTTATATAAATAAGAAAAGTAAAACTTCGACAAACCAAATCATTCCATGGTTAAGAGTATTTTTTTCATGTCTCCAACTTATGTTGGAGGATTAAAAATTGTGTGATTTTTTGAGGTAGATTTGTCAATCTAGCATTGTTGAATAAATCATCATCTTCTGATTATAATGGAGGTGGTAACAAGTGCTCGATTAGATGATGAGAATTCAGATTTGTCAATCTAGCATTGTCGAATAAATCATCATCGCTGTTTGGGCTCAATCGCACTCGACAAACTCAATCAATCATCGTTGAGCGTCAATTAACTCTAACTGGACCTCAATTTAATAAAATTAAATTCAATCTCATCAAATTAATTGAAATTGATCTAAATCGACCGCACCGACCAAAAATTGATTCAAGTCAAGCCTCGTCGAGCATCGTCGAACCAAATTCGACGCAATTCGGTGCCAATTTGAGCCAAGTATCACAACATTGGTTTGATCGTACTCATTTGGACTCGAATCGACTCTAATTGATTCGGATTGGGTCCAATTCGGACCCAATTTCAGCCCAATTTGTCAAGTCCTGATTCAATTCACTTCCCAAATCAGGATTTGAATTAAACGGCTCAGATTTCCTTTGAAATCCTGCTCTATTTTCGTCAAATCGTCTGATTTCAGCAGCTATCACAGGATATCAAGCAAAAAATCTACTCAAGTGCGTGTGAGTTTCGCTTCGCGAGAGACAAAGAGGGCAGGAGAGCAAGAGTGGGGGATTTGCCCTTTTGCTTGCGTTATGCGTCCAAAATAGAGCGAGGGAGACTTAGAGAGAAGGCTCCAGGCAGAACCATCGTCCGTGACCCTGATTGCATGCATAACTCCCGTTCGCGCCGAAGACCTCTGTCCGCGACCCCTATTCACGTGTGGAACTTCCGTCCGATCTATTCAGGCCTTCGGCCAAATCTTCCAAGAGGTCTGTCTCGCTCGCTCGCCGGATCATTCGAAGTCGCCGGCCTCTGCACGCAAAGCCTTCGTACGATTTGAAGAACCCGACTTCGTCCATGTTAGGATTTGGGCAGTGTTTTTTCTAGTAGGAGGCTTCTACTCCCTCTTTCAACTCCGGCGTGCTCGTAGCAGTCGAGGAGGCCCTTGGAAGTAGATTTCTGTAGCTTTCTCTCTTTTTGACAAAGCAAGTAGATTGTGGTCTATGCCATGACAACCCGGCGAGGTAAATTTCTCAAAAACTTAAGAAAAGTCCTATCCCTAGGTTCCCGACCATTTGTTGTGTGGTTGATGATCCAAAGCCTTAGGTCCCTAGAAAACCTTGCTTTTACTTTTCTAACCCAAAAAAATCCTGTGCATGCACTGTCCACTTGTTTGGGTCATGGAAATCAAGTGATTCTCGTGATTTGGTCTCATGTGAGAGCCAAAAGGATGGCGGCAAGGCGCCGGGTCTTTGGACTTGTGTTCAATGCCTTTATCTTGCATGCAATGCATTCTTGTTGTTTCCATGCCTTCCCCTACAACTAAACCCTAGGTTAGGTGATTTCATTCGATACCAAATCAAATGTTGATGTGTAGAATTCTTCTCTAAATGTGGCATACTTTGTTTAACCTCTAGATTTGTGCATTGTGATAAGATTAACGCATGCATGTAGAAGGCTTGTATTGCCATGACACTTGCAATCTTCTCCAATTTTACTAGATGTTCAAACGTGCGTTTCAATTATTTTGTGAAGTAATGGGGTCTCTCATGAACATTCTTTGTTCATGTTTTGAATCTCATAACTAATAGATTGATTGGAACCATGTTTGAAGTTTCTCCGAATTTATAGAATCAAAGCAAGAAAATTTCCAATTCAAATGTTTTTTTTAATCAAATTAGTTTGCATTGATAGATCACTCACTCACTCAAACCTCAAATGAATGCATACTTTATGTCAATGGCTATGATCGTTATATACCTAAAATTTGCAAAATCATAAACGTGTCCGCCGAACTCATGAATGCTTGTAAAGCAAAGACCGAGTGTTCTATGGCTTTATAGAGCTTATAGATTACACCCCATCATGTATTGAAGTTTGTTAGACATGTTTAGTGCAATTTGTAAGTTGATGGAGCAATGACATATAACCTAAGCACCTGATTAAGCACCTAAAATGATAAAACACATGTACTCATCTCTAAGATTTTCTTAGATCATAAAAATTTGACTTTTAGGGCCTACCCATGAGCATTCAAATGATGATTCTACCTCAAACCTCTAGGTCCCTTAGATAATGTCAAAAGTTATCTTCCAAACCTTCTAGAAGTTGTAGATGGTGAATTGTCTTCTTTACCATGCATGTTGTTGGGAGCTTCCAAAGGCTCTAAGAAACTCATTGCATAAATCCAGAATTCATTGGTTTTGTTTGGTGAAACACAAAATCAACAAACAACCTTCCTATCCTCTCATGCATGATGATTTGAGGTTCCTCAAGCCTTCAAACTTAGTGCCAAATTTTAAATTTCCTCCTTTAATATGTTGAAACACAAAGACAACAAATGGTTTCCTTTATCGTTGCTTTCCAAACTCACGTGGATGTTTCCCAAATAATCTCTAAAGAACCTGGAGAAAGCACTAACAAACATCAGGGTCAAATCCTAGGTTTATTTGATTTGTTTGTTGAAACACAAAATTAGCAAACAATAATTCATCTTCCTTTCATGCATGATGGTTGGAGCCTTCTCAAAGCCTTAAATGTTGACTGTATGAATCCAGGCATACATTAGAAGCTCTCTATATCATCCTCCTTCTCATATATGATGGTTTAGAGCACCTCAATACTCCAAACACTTCATTACATGAACCATTTAACCTTAGGACCAAATCCTAGGTTGATGATTTGTTTGTTGATGCACCAAAAATCAACAAACAATTATCCCTCCTTCCTCATGCATTGCAAGTGGAACCTTCTCAAATTCCAAATGTTACATTACATGAGTCATTGGATCTTAGGACCATTTTTTTTTAATTCTTCCACATCATTTTTTGGAAAACAAACCAACAAATATCCTCCTCATGCATGTTGTTTTGAGACATCCAAAAGTTTCAAATACATCATTGCATGAATCATTTGAACTTGGAACCAAATTCCAAGTTTCTTTTGCCTTATTCGTTAGAGCATAAAAGCAATGAATAATACTTCCAAAACATAAGGTTCAAACCATAGTTTCCTCCATTCAACCTAAATTAAGTGAATGTTGATGCTATCAAGAATTTCTGTACTTTTCTTTTATTTGAACAATAGTATATTTTTTTTTCTATTTTATTTTCTTTTCTTTTTTAGCTATCCAATGATGGGAAAGCATCCAATGATCATGGTAGATTGTGCATAAGGCTTGGTAGACCTTTGGTTTGCTGGCTTGTTTGGTCCTTGGCTATTGATGGGCTGATTTCCGAATGGGCATTTGGAAAACCTATGAGGGGCTGATTTTCGAATGGGCATATGGAAAACCTATGATACATTATGCTTGGGATCTTGTAAACATTAACTAAGGTGGCTTTTGGCATTCCTCTACTTTGCCTATAAATAAGAGATGTTGTTGTGACGGAAGGCAGTTGATATTGGTGAGCATAGTTTGCTATTAACCTGTGGGTTTATTCGGAAATCTTGCGGGCTCTTTCCACCCTTCTTTTCTCATCCCCTCCGGATATCCTGCGGGCTTTTTCCACCCTTTCTTCTCGGGCTTCTAATCTCTTCGTCTCTCCGCAAGTGCCACTCCATCTTTATCCTTCTTCTCAACAGTGAAGCAACTTTAGGGTGTCGTGTCTTGGTTGATTTGGAAGCATTTGGGACAGTCTTGCAGTGGTGGACCATCGGTTTGCTAGTCTTATGCACTTCTTTTATTTAATCTACTATTCGATGCATGTGAGGAACCCGCTCTGACGGTTGTCTAAGGATAGCGCTTTTTTTATTTTTCTTTATTTCTTCTAATATTTCTTGTTGTGTTTGTCAAGTCTTAGCTGTCTGTTTCTATTTTAATAAAGTTTGTTTTAAGTTTTATCCATTGTGTTTGTTCCTTCTTGTGTGTCTACATCAAATGTTCACCCCTCTTTGAACACCAAATGTCCAAAGAGTCTTCAATTAGAAACTCAACTTCCAAATTTGATTGTAATAACTAGGACATTATTTGCATTTTGTCTTAGTTAATTTATATTTTCAAGCATATGTTGATTGTTTATTGGGTGTGTAATAGAAGCATATTTTTTCTTAGGTTTTTTCTCTTGTTTTGCTTGGGAGTGGCCTGAACTTTTGATACGATAAGCTCTTGGACAAAATTAAGATTTCTTCATATTAAAAATATAAGCAATCAAACTAGGCTTCATGTGTTTCTAACAAAGAAAGAAAATAATGCATGGCTCACTTCAAAAAGAGCGAAGTTTTCTAAAACTTAAAATGATTATGCATAGCCTATTGAGTCACATATAGAAAGCCCTCACTTAGGACTATATAACAAAAATATATTTTCTTTGTGAGTTGGCATTCTGCATACCATTTATGGTCTGATATCTTGGCCTCAAAGTTAAGTTGTAAGCCCTATCTTCAAAATAAAATAGCCTCCCTACTTTTCATATGCATTGAGACTAGACTTCATAGTTTTAAAAGCGATTAGGTGGGTTTAGCTGGTAGCCGTTTCCAGGCAGGGCAAAAAATCCAGATATCGGGCTGGGTATGCCTCATGTGAGGTGTAGTTTGTAAGTCTCTTGCACTTTGTTAGACCTAGGTTTATTATCTCTCAATAGTCCTCACCTAGTCACCTTAGTTCTAGGATCCGAGACATTGGTTGATTTCAATCACCTGATAAGCCCTCCTTTCCGGGTATTTTCCCCAACATGTGTTTTTGGAATATAAGCCCCGACATTCTAAATGAAAATGTTAATTTAAACAAAAAATTGGATTTTAAAATGTAAAGCCTAATATATAATAGTCCGAGGAACTCTGAGATTTCTCATAATCAAATGCTCCTACTTTACTCATTTGTTCTTCATGCCAAAGTCCAATGAAAAGTTGATCCACCCTCTTTCTTGAAATTCTTAAAGACCAAAACTCTTTAAAATAAGAATTTCATGAATTTTAAAATTAAATTTTAGCCAATATTCGAATGATCTTCAAAAGACAAGAAAATCACTAGTTTAATCAAAAGTATTGTCAAGTGTCAAATGCTTGAGATGTAATTAACCATAGGGGTCTGTAAGGCCCTATGGGGCATCCGTACCCCAGAATACAGAATAAAATAAACTCAATTCAACCAAATAATGAATGAGGGAATCTATGTTAAAATTATAAAATTTATTATTGAGTCCATAAGGAAATGATATTTTTTATCGTACTGGGTAATATATCATCTTTCTTATGACGTACTCGATCACAAAATATGCAATCCGTTTGAGGATAACAAAATTTCTCCAACAATGATGTTGGATTACACGACATGTAGCTTTTTTATTGGTTCCTCATTTGAGCTAATGAAGAAAATTTCTAAACCTAAAATCTTATTACATGAAATACTTTGTGATTGAGACCCGAGCTGGACCAACCAATCCAACAAACCTATAAATTTTACCCTTAGTTGACTTGATTTAGAATTAACCAAGTAAATTGGGCTTTGGGCCGAGCGAGTATTTTAAATAGCTAACTAGAGTAGAGAAGTGGTTGAAACCCATTCGAGACCACTCAGCCAACTTGGATCATTGATAAGTATACCCACTAACATAATATCAATGGTGATTCCTAAATATTCAATTGTAGTTATGCAGAAAAAAAAGTGCGTGGAACTTTGGTGACATTGGAAACTTATCTTTAGATTGCTCCTGAGCTCCACCCACATTGGGCACACTGTCCTCTGCCATGTCATCCATTATTGTTACCTAAGCACTATTGGAATTCACCCATTCAATTTTTTTGTCAGAATGATGAACAGTTGATGTAAAATTTGTCGGTGTTAGTGGTTTGTGTTGAAACTATATTCAAAGTGAGCTTAAATCTTCGTTCATCTTGCTAAAATATCTATTACGATAGCAAAGAGAGGCATTATTTATTTTCTTGATTGTTGTCTCTTGCTTAACATTGCTTATTCAAATTAATGTTTCTCTATGAATATTGCTTGTAACTTTTTTTTTTTGTAAGAGGATAGGTTATGTTGATCCTAACGACTATCATCTGAAGAAATTATTATGTTTTATAGATGAAGTAGATGATGACTACCTGGGGTGGAGGGATGAGGATATGCGTAAGTCAATGTGTAGGAAAGGATTCTTGATTTGCGTAATAGGAGGTTTTCCCAAAAAAATCTCTCCATCGTTTGCACGAACAGGTTGAGGTTCCTCACCAGCAACAAATATTCATGTGATTGCAATAAGAAGCTGGCTAATTGGGTTTCTGGAAGCCAAATGGATGGGGAAGATCATGATAATGCTTGGATATATTGTTGACAATGGCTAGATCTGGTGGAATGTGGGAGATTTGATTATGGTCAGTTTTGAGTTTTGGGATTCAATCACAACGCTTGGAGATGCCATGGATGATGGTGAAATCTGGCAAGATGTGGGAAATGTTATGATGATGGCAAGCTCTTTTGTGGAGATCTTGCGGTGACGCTTGGAAATGTCATGTATGGAAGAATCAATGAAATGCGACCTAACTTGTAGATGTCATGAATGGCAGAAAAAATAGATTTGGGGATGGATGGTGGCATGGGGATTTGGCAAATCCTGCAAAGGTGATGGGGGCCATGGATATGTGGTCAACAATGGAATCACTATGAAATCATGGAAGAGCACTTGGAGATGGCAAGATGGGGCATTGGATTCGGATTTAGTGGCAAAAATCGTTATGAGATGATGTGGTGTTATATCTAGGAGAAGATTCAAGACACGGCGGGTTCGAAAAGTCATTGTGCGGCAATAAACTATGTTGTAGATTTGGTGGGGTCGATGTATGACCGGGCAATGGGGTCAAGAAAGATTGCTATGGCAAGTAAGCACTCTATGGCGTGGCTCAACAAGAGCTAAGGGATACAAAACTGCTGAAAGGATCACCAAAATATAATGAGGGGGAATATAAATGAAAAATTGAGAGGGTGACTACTCGATAAAGTGGGAGATTGAGAATATGGCAGAAGAGAATCAAAAGAAAGGGCTAACTCATTTCATTAGATTGATACCTAATACTCCCAAATGGAGATTATGTATAGACTTACCAAGATTCACAAAGATCAACTACTATTAACTACTAGCACAACATAAACAATATAATATAATTATTAAAATTAGCATTAACTACTAACCCACACGATTCATTACAAATCCATATCGTTTGCCAATCCTCTAACTCACGGCTAGTTCATCATAAGATAATAACTCTTCAAATTGGGTGAGAAGGGGTAAAAAGCTTGAATTGGGATATTGAGAAGATGAAAGAGAAGCAAGGGAAAGGGGGATAATTCACTTTATTTGATTGATGTATAATACTCTCAATTGTGGAGTTTCAATGACTCACTACGACTCATTAATTATCAATTAATCACTAAAACAAGGGCAAACTATCAGTACTAGTTAACTATGAACCCACACTACCGTTATAAATATCTATCACATAATAATTTACAAACCCAAATTTATTGAACGTATACTAATAATTATATTTTCTCATGTTTTACCTGCGCTACATTTTTCCCAAAAAACAAATGTTTATTTGACTTTGCCTGATTGACTCGAGGCTTAAACTAGTGAATCAAGGACTCTTATATAGTGAAAAAGAGGGAAGGGATCCTTTGTTTGAGAAATGCGTGGAGATGCAAGGAGTCAACTCTCCACAGAGCGATTTGAAAGTAGTGATGGTGGATGATGCGCCATCAATAATTGCATTGAGGGTCTGGATCTCTAATAAAAAAGAAAGGTATAATGGCAGACCATGAGCGCCTCCCTAATTCTTCTTCTTTGTATCGGTGGCTGTGAATTTGAGCTAATATGGATGACTTGCATATAAAATTCTTTAGGTACTAAAGGGCCTAGACAGCTTTTCAACCAGGACAAATTTTCTTTCTCCTTATGTTTTAATTTTTTTATTGAATATGATATATATATATATATATATATAGTTTAAGAGATTAGTTCTCCTGATTTGTACCATATGTTTATAGATTCGTCCTGCTTTTATTTGCTCTTATATATGTTCTCTCTGAAGAAAAATTATTACATGCGGGTCCGGATTCGTCCAGAGACCAATAAAAATGCGCCACGTCGCCCCCAAAAATGTACCGTGCTCGATACCGAGCGTGGAACCGGACGGTTCTCCCGTCCGGTGTCCGCACAAAATAATCTCCCCTCTCTGAGAGCTTGGTATTTTTTTAAAAAAAACTGCCATTCTTAATATTTATTTTACTAGCTAAACTTTAACCTGGAATCAGGTGCATGATGAAGTAATACTTGAAGGCCCAACCGAATCTGCAGAGATTGCAAAGGCAATAGTTGTTGATTGCATGTCAAAGCCCTTTGAAGGAACCAACATACTCAAGGTAGATCTTGTTGTAGATGCCAAGTGTGCCCAGAACTGGTATGCTGCCAAGTAGTTGGTCACTCCACTGCAAGCCATATTTTCCAAAGTATCTGGCTCTCAGTTTTTTCCATTGCCAGATCAAAAGCTGCGATGGCCATCACGAGGAAGTTCTTATGAGCCCATCTTATCTTGATTTTGTGAATGAATTTGTGCTTTATCTACCGGAAATTTTAAGATTACAGGTAGTCTCAAGTCGATATATTCATGATAGTGAGCCATCAAGCAAAGTGCGTGGGTGGTCTGGATGGTGGAGATCAAGCAGGAGTTTCTATTTTGAATGTAAGTGTACAGTAAGGCTACATTTGGGACGGCTTTCTTTCTGCTTCTTAAATACTGAAAAGCTGCTTTAAGAAGCATAAAGAAAATTGTCTCAAACGAAGCCTAACTTATCATTTTTGTAAAAAGGGCAGTTATTTTTGTGCGCAATCAATCTGCCTTAACATTCTTAACTGGCCTGGAGAAACTTGGTTGTAGTATGTTGTATATGCAGTTCTAATAGAAGGCTTAGCTTGTGTGAACATTGCATGCATTGCTTAGAATGATTGAAGAAAAACTATATTTTGGTTATTATGTTGTGGCTATTTGATTTTCCTTTGAGAGTTGAGCCTTTAAAAGAAACTTTCTTACCCTTCAAATTTTCTGGAGTAGCTCATAGTTCACTGTTCCCTTAAAGATTGTGCATCCATTTTGTTAAAAATTAAGGGTTCAGGGTGAGGGATGGCCATATTATTAATTTAGGCTTCATTTGGGATGGTTTTATATCTTTTTTTTTATTTTTAAGAATTTTTTATACTAAAAAATTTCTAATTTTTTATAAAACATTAAGAAAGCCATCCCAAATGAAGGCTTGGTATCCTATTCATTGATTTATTGTTCGGGATCATAAACAATTTTTTCCTCTTTTTCGAGTAGCATGAATTTTGAAGCAATCTAAAAGATATGAACAAATACTCAAATTGCTAATTGAGGTAGTTAAATGGAAATATGAGTTCAGAATTCGGGTTTCTAATGTTGTAGTTCCATGACAGCAGTTTAAAATCATGCATACTTAAATTACATGATTAGGGCATCACATGAGTCCAATTGATTTGAATCGTCAAAAATTGATCTCAATTGTTAGGAGTGTATTTAGAGTGTCAAAATGGGTCAACGTGATGGGTTTGGGTTTATCCCGATTTGATTTGGGTTTAAACGGGTTGATTCTAATCCAATCCGATTTTGCAAATAGGTTAGGAATGTCATCTTTCCATCTTGGATCCGATTCATCGAGCTGCTGGGTTGACCCGACTAGACCAGCTAAACTCGGATCCGGGCTGTGCGCAGGCAAGGCTTGAGTGCATGAGTCGGCGAGTGCAGGCGCTGGGCAATGCAGTAGGGCATCACGTGCATGCGCGGGTGAACCGGTGCTCTCCACCAACTAGAACACAGGTCAGCAATGCTTGCAACCAATATTGTCACCCATGTGTACTCTCACCCATCTACAATTCGCAATGAAGGTTTTAGCTTCTTCGAGCTACAAGCCTTCTTGTTTCAAATCATGCTCATCTTTAAATTCTGGTTTAGATGAGGGGAATAATTCTATAGAGCAACATTTGAACATTCTTATTTATTTCTACTAAGATTATTTACGATGCAATAAATCTTTCCATAATAATTTAGGTTGATCCAATTATGATTTATCTCACTAACGTGACTCATCAAATTATGGATCTAAGATTGATACGTTATCATGAAATTATCTTGATTGGGCACGAATCTCGATGCAAAACCCAACCCGAAAACTTCAAAAACCCAACCAGGAAACTTCAAAAATTAAATCCGGAAGCACCCGAACCACCGTCGGAGCATCGCCGGACCACCACCTAAGGCCTTCACCCTCGCCGGACCACCGCCGGAACTTCGCCGGACCACCGACGGTGCCTAGCCGGACCACCGCCGGAGCTTAATTCGCCGCACCACCACCAGAGGCCCTCACCTTTATCAAAGACCCTCACCTTCGCCAAAGGCCCTCACCTTCACTTGAGGCCCTCACCTTCGTTAGAGGCCCTTGCCTTCCCCAGATCATCATCAAAGGCTGTGTGCTCCGCCAGAGCATCACATGAGGCCCAGACTTCCGCCGGACCACTACTTGAGGCCTTGAGCTCCACCAGGCCACCACCTGATGCCCAGAGTTCTCCCAGAATACTGTCTCCTGCCGACTACGGTCCTTTCGACCTCCGTCGCCTACTATGGTCTTTCTGACCTCCATCAACTGACAACGGTCTTTCTGACCCAGGTCTCCTGCCGACTACGGTCCTTCTGACCTCCGTCGCCTACTACGGTCCTTCCGACCAAACAAACATGTATATGTAACTCCCACCATGTAATGCAATCTATATGATGTACATTTGCTACATCAATCCAAGACCTTCTCCTAAGGAAGGGCCTCATTTTGTAATCGACTGCAAATACTATTGGATTCATTCAAACTGGGCCAGGCCCCATGGTTTTTCCCCCTTTTTATGGGTTTCCACGTAAAAACTCTGGTGTCTCTTATGAATGCTACACTCCCTCTCTTATCTGCTTGTGTGCTGGATCTTCGTACAATGCTAAGACGTTAAATTATATATTTCTCTACCGCCACGAATACACCTGGACGCAACAAAGATAAAACCTCCAACGACAGCAGTAAACATGGATTGTTGAAGCTTGCATAAAATTTGATGCTTTGATTAGTATAATATAGGGGTGTAAGTTAGTCGAGTCAGCTCGAGCTCGACTCGTTTATGGGCTTGCGAGCCGTGCGTATCATGTGAAATTTTTAACAACGTATTACAAGATTTAAGACGGTTTGTTAATTTAAAATTTAAATTTAATGTGTTTTTAATTTAATTTATGTGTTAAGGACGAGTTACTAATTAATTTTAATTCTAATTTTCACAAATAACTTGTAATAATGAATAATATAATTAGAAGCTTGGTTATCAAATAATTTAATTACTAATTATAAGACTAATTATCAAACTACTTATTTGAGTATTAATTAGTAGGAATGAATCCACTAGTGTTTGCTTGTGGTATAAGAGGTTGCCTCGTCCTTAAAATTTAGGACGATCAGATTACAATAATACACTCTCGAATTGAAGTTCAATTACAAACAATAATTTGAGATTCGACGATGTTGGGTATTCGGGTTGAATCCTAAAGTCACTTGGAGATCGAACAGAATTCTGACGTCACTTGAGCGGAGTTTCGGCGTCACTGGAAAGTCGGGCGGAACTCTGGCGTTACTTGGGCAGAATTTCGATGTCCCATGGAAGTCGGGCAGAATTCTAGTGTCACGTGGAAGTCGGGCAGAATTCTGATGTCACTTGGAAGTCGGGCAGAATTCCGCGCGGTGGTCGAGGAGGAGTTTATTCCCTCATATCCTTCTTCTCTTCTCTTCTCCTTCTTCTCTTCTTCTTGCTTGGGTCTCCTCTCAAGAGAAATGATGGTCTTTTATAGTTTTTTGAGGATGGCACGACCCATAAATAAGAGGTGGATTAAGGGCAAGGTGTAGTGGTTCGGATGGATGACCAATATTGAATTCCTTGATCGTGGACCGCTTTTTAGATATTTAAAGGTCTTAACGATATCAGAATTCAGCGATCTTCGGATCGTTGGATTCTTCTCGTCGAGCCACTCGATTCGACTATAAGCATGTCATATTTGGAAACCGTTTGATAATCCAAATTGTAGTTTGAACCTTCAAACAGTGCTTTGGGTCTTTGATTCAGAGCTCATTTGGGCTCAGATCGAGTTGAATTTAGTGTAATTAGGTTTGTATTTCTGAGACGCTTAATTTGACTATAAGTTTGCTGAAATTGGAATTCAGGTGATTCTAGGTTTATTTTTTAAAGTTTTCGGCTTGATTTTGCCTCAAGATTCATGCCCGATCAAGATAACTTTTGATGATTATCAGTTGCACCCCTATTTTTTGACGTCAATGCTTCAGGAGTTCAAAAATATGCGTCACAAACTTTGGAGAATTTTTCATGTGATTTAAAATCTGATCTTGCTTGTAGGAGCCCCAAATGGCTTTAAAAGTGCTGAAATTGAGTCTGAAACTTCAAAAAAAGGTCACAAAGACCCCAAAAATGTTCGATTTGGCCTTTTCGGGGCAAAAATTGGTCCCGGAATCTTGAAGGCAGACGAACTGGACAGCTAGCCGCTGTCGGCCTGAACCGCGTGTCGGGCCCGTTGACCCGCATCGCGGCCCCGCCTGGCTCCGCGCGTTGCTAGTCTGCCCGCAGCCTGACAGGCCCGTGCAGTGCTGCGCGCTACTTGGCGGTCGGGCACCGGTTCGGGCCTGCCGCTAGCAGTTTCCCGAGCTGCCAGCCGTTTATGTTTTTTTAACTGAAAAAATTCCCAAAAAGTTTTAAAAATTTTTGAAAAAAATTCAAAAAAAATTCTTAAAAATTATGGAAACTTCTTTCTTCCCCAAAAAACACTATTAATACCCCCTAGGGCCAGGGGTAACTTGCACATTCTTTTTTTTTCCTCTAACTTTCTTACAACTAAGGCATTTAAATATTTTTTAGTAGGTAACTTTCTCTACTTAACTCAACGCACCTCCTCTTGTATAGAAGTTGAAAATTCATCTTCTTTTTCTTTCTTTCTCCCCCATTTTTATTCCAGCTCTAGAGGCATTCTGCTATTTTTCGTAGGAGACTTTCCCTACTTAAATTCAGTGCTCCTCTTCAGTGTAGAAGGAAATTTTTGGAATCATTTATTTTCTTTCTTCTCATTTGTTCTAACTTTCTAATAGTTGAGGTATTCCATTATTTTTTGTAGGTGACTTTTCCTACGCAAAATCAATGGCCCTCTCCTCATTTAAAAGTTAGAATTTTTGTAGCATTTCCTTTCCTCTCACCCCCATCTTTTTATTGCTCTAGAGGCCTTTCACTAAATTTTTTTTCTAGGTGATTTTTCCTATCTAAATTTAGTGCTTCTCTTCAGCGTAGAATAAAATTTTTGCAGTCATTTCTTTTCTTTCTCCTCATTCGTTCTAACTTTTTAACAGAGGAGGCATTCCATTTTTTTTCATAGGTGACTTTCCCTATGCAAAATCAATGTCCCTCTCCGCATATAGAAGTTAGAATTTTTGTAGCATTCCCTTCCCTTTCTTCCCCATCTTCTTCTTGCTCTAGAGGTCTTCCACTATTTTTTTTATAGGTGATTTTTCCTACTTAAATTTAGTGCTCCTCTTCAGTGTAGAAAGAATTTTTTTCTCCTTCCACTATCTTCTCCTCTTGCTATCTTCTTACAGTCGAGGCATTTCGCTATTTTATGTATGTGACTTTCCCTTACATCAGTGCACCTCTTATTGTGTAGAAGTTAGACTTTTTACAGCTGCTCCTCTTCTTTCACCTCCCTCTTCAAGAGATCCTACGGTCGAGGGAAAATCAACGATTGTCAGCATACGGTTTGAAGTCCGATGAAAGTCCCATGAAGGGTAGAAGTCCAACGACAGGAGGAAGCTCAATGTCGTGTAGAATTTCAATAAAAGCCTGCGACGGGAGGAAACTTAGTGTAGGGTGGAATTTCGATGA